CTAGAAACGTGGCGTGACACTAGTCACGTGACCTCGCTGACGCAACAATATATTTACAGAATTATTTCCTATCACAGATAGATTATTACTGGCTAAAATTCATCAGATGTATTGAGAAAAAATCTAGGAGAATAGAAATCAAGAGGCAAATGTGGATGAGCCAAAAAAGAACGAATGAAACATAGTTTGACATTAAAACGTCGAACAAACGTTTTTGTTAAATTTTGATAAACTGTAACAACAGTGGATACATTGTGTATACTTTAGAACTTTTTCATCAAATAACTTTGATCGATCGATACTAAGCAAGTTTTCCTGAAATTGTTTTCCAGTTTTTAGAAGAAAGTTATGTATTTGACTTTATTTCCTTAATATCATAGTTTGTTGTTACTTAAGTAGCAAAAATGTTGGTGTACTTCTTATTTTAGATAAATCTAGCAACTTTCCGAGATTTAGTTAGACTGTGAACAAATGATACCATTCCAGCATTAAACAGACTAACAGAAATACTCGCGTAATTAACAAGGTCAAGAAAGGCTTGAAAACAATTTGTACTAGCAGTTAACTTTTATGAACTGGTGAATGAAGATTTTATTAGAAAAGAGACAAAACAATATTATAAGTAGTAAAGTAATAAATAAATACGTTAGAATGTTAAGTTTTCTAATGACTGTTTCCCCTAAAACAATTGTCACCACACCTCATGTGGTTTTGCTAAAAATATCTGTGAGAAGAACAACAGTGAAACAGATAGTGGCAGAAAGTAGTTTTTCTTCTCCCACACTGTTCTTAGTCAGCTTTCTATAAAAAGGGCTTATAAGTTAGAAGTTATCCTGAAATAGTTAAGTAGCCAAACCCATTTTTAAAATATCACGCAGTGTTGCAGTAAAATTTTGATATATATTGTTACTTTGTGAAATATTTCATCCTTACCAGATATAATATGATTTGTTTCATATACCTTTTAAAGTTTCATTTTAAACTAAGTAGCTGTATCATTGTTTGCCGTTTACAAGAAATTTCGTTTGATTTTATTCAATTTAAATTTTGTTTTATTCAGGCAGCATAATATATATTGTTTCATTATAGGTTACAGTGGTTAAACGAATAATGGAAAATATTCTAATTGTATGCAAAATATGCTGAAGATTTCTAAACATTATATGATTTTCAGTAGCCATACAAACTTTTCTCAGAATCATACCACTGTTCTGATAAGAGCCTTTTACTGATTGTTTGTTTAAAAAGTCTTTAATATCGCAATTTTCGTGTTGAGTTTTGATAATATAATCAATATCGTACACCATTCACACAACAGTCGATGATTATTTACAATATCACTAATATACAATGTTTATCTGGAACGGAATATCTTGTATTTTTATATATTAGTATGTCTATTGCATTTTGTTAGGCTTATGAGATTTATGTATATAATCAGGACAGAAGGAACGTTCACTTTCTAATTATCTTCTTATCTGATAATGTAACATAGTATTGAAATATTTCATTTGACTCCGCAAATTAAGTCATGATAGTTGTGTGCAGGAAGTAATTTATCAAATCTACTTCTAACAGCTTATTGAACGTTAAGAAAAAAGACGATTGGCTTGTGAATTGACAGGGATATAATCTTCAAAAAATATTTTGTCGTTAAGAGTATAAATCGTTTGCATTTTTTTCTGTGTACGAAAGGTGCATAATCATTACCATCGCGATTTATATTCCATCTTAAATGGATTGATCAAAGCAAATTATATCTTTAATAAACGCGTGTTCCCATCCCACTTGTACAAGATGATTAAAAATTGCTAATTTAAAAAGGGGAATAGGGATCGTCAAAAAAGTAAAGAAACAAGTTGAATCAAAATGCATAGATTATATATTAAAACCTAACACCAGGTACTTTAAGAAAAGTAAACAAATTTGGCTGGAAATAGTATCTAAATTATTTTCTCAAGCTACAAATTCCTATTTGAACTCCATGTCTACAGTAATTATCATTTTTAATGGAGTGAAAATAAGGATTTGTAGTTTGAGAAAATAATGTAGACGATTTCCAGCCTACTTTGGTAACTTTTTTAGAGGTCCTAGTTGTAGACTTGAAAACATAATCTTTGCATTTTGATTCAACTTGTTTCTATACTTTTTGACTATCTCTATTCCCCTCGTTTCTCAAGTTATTTTATGTCGATATATGGAGACTAAATTTAAGCTACTTACGTGCATTTGCCCTTCAGTTGAATGTTACCTGTTTTCAATAGTTTACGGCAGCATTGGCTTTTTATCCACTCAACCATTATTACTGAGCCAGGTGGTTTTGTATCAGAAGTTTCGTGAAAACACGTGTCCAACTAGTGTCGAGTACAAAGGAAGCCACTCACAACAACATCGCATATATTATGCATTTATAGCCACGTAAATCAACTTTCAATGAAAATTAATCAACTTTTTAAATATGCCATTGTTACGTATTAGAGTTTCAAATGGTCTGAAATTGAGTTAACTGATAATTTAAATTTAGTAGTTAAATTGTGGTTTGGATTTAGTATTTGAATAAATGCCGATATATATATAGTCGGTTTATAATAATGGTTGGAGACGGCTTGAATGGGTAATGAAGAAAAATTTTAATATAAGTTTAACATAACAGCAAATATACGTCAACCTTGT